GAGTCGACAAACATCGACTGGAAGGAAGAAGGCAAGCGACGGACTACGATAAAGAAACCTAAATTACTAAGTAGAGAAGGCAAACTGAAATTGTGAGGAAGTGTGTAATATATAGTCTTTACAGGGGTTCTAAAATGTTTTTGGGTCTGGTAACTGATGAGATTGAAGAAAATTCTGATACACCATGCAAAATAGATTTTGAAATAATGAGAACGAGGGGAAGTTTCACATCTTTTAAGGTATATTACCTTTACTGGAAGTGAAAAATATCAGTTCATTTTAAAACAGTCTGTAACACAGGATTAAAGCAGTTTCCTCTTATATTTAGATAGAACAAATTAGGGTCCAGATTAAGTAAAATTTATGTCACCTATGTGGTTTATAAACAGCAACAGGTAGATTTCCTGCCATAAAAACTTTTTAATGGTTCATTATGCTTTTTAGAATGCATAATAACTCTGACCAAGCCATATATTATCATGCCCCCTACCCTATTTTAAGGGCTTTACTTGCCTCGTCTCGGAGTATAGGCAGCTGAGTTATAAACTTGGTGTATGATATTAAAATCCCTTTTTAAAATTGAATCTTTATTTTTTACAACAGTACGTACAGTGATACACTATTCACTAACTTTATCATAAAATATAAAGCTTTCGAAATTTGTTAGCAGACATGAAACATTTAGAAAAGTTATATTGATAGCAAATGCTTTTATTTAATTATTCGCGGTACTGAAATAACTTTCTTTTTCAGGTATTCGTTAATAAGATTCTGAATTATTCATGTTACTTTCCTCTTGTCAGCCGTGTAACTGTGTCAATAAAATGATGAATAGGATTAGTTACTAATGATGAGGAAACCGTGTACTAATCATCACCACGGATTAAGCTCTTGGCCTGTCCCGGTTACATAAATTAAAAACTGCTCCATCGCTCCTTTTATCAGAATATTTTGCTCTTCGGTTTATAATGATACAGCAGCCCTAAGATTCTGTTTCCAGGCATTCTCTTCAATTATTCTAACCATTACAGTTCTCTAATTCCTATTTCATTATCTGTTACTCCCCGACTTTCTGTAACAAATTTAGTACCTCTGAAACGTCGGATAATTCAGCGTGAGTACACGGCGTAACATCTCAGAAGGCAGTCATGTTCGTTTTCGATTATACTTGGTATTGGTAACACTACCGACATAATTAATATTTTGTTTATACAAATCCAAGTAACTACAAACGTTAGAATGCATGCGAACTGCGACGTCTTGTTGAGACACTACTTTTCTACTGCACAAATAAGACTGAAGACAAGGTAGTGCATGAGAACCTAACCTAACCTGAGACAACGTGAACTTCTATAGCCAGATCTTCTCAGTATCAGTAGCCAAGGAAATGACACAACAAGAAACCGGTACAGGCATAAGGAACGCGTGGCAAGTCCGCTGTTAACTTCTGGTAATTTCAAAAATTAAAGCTGAATATTGAACGGACCAAAGATCTTGGAACTATTCTTACTACTTCTTCTAATATGAAGATAAACAGATTTACACACAAGATGTAAATAGACAGTAAAT